CCCATTCAGTATGGGCCACTACTTTTTGAAGTTGTAGGGCTTTGTTACATTTTGTTTTCAAATATTTTAGGTGGGAATGAACAATAATTTTTTTATCAAAGATAATGCCTAGAAACTTGTGTTGTTTCATTACTGGGATTTCTGCTCCATCTAATTTTAAACAGGAGTCATTGTGCAATTTTCTTAATTTTCAGAAATGCCTTTCACATTCTCTTGCTCATATTATGCTATCACCACACGATTCTTTGCCATCTATATATGCTCTAAAGAACACTATCGCTGACCTTGAAACTTTTGGTATCATTTTTGTTACCTGTGTTTTTTGACTTGGTAATAACTAGTCAAACACTGATTTTACTTTTCTAGAAAACATGAATTCTGCCAGTGCCATGCCTGATGGTGTATTGGTGTTATGTGTTACATGGTAAACTCTCAAAAAATTTTGAATTGCTTCCCCATTTACTTTCTCAAGATTTGCTTTCATCAACGCTTTTTTGAATGTTCCCACAAACTGTTTCCACTTGTCCGTTAGACCTTGGGTGATACGGCAGGGTTGTAATATGTTCAATATAGAACATCTTACAAAAGTCTCCAAATTCTTTACCCGTGAATTGCACACCATTATCAGAGACTATAGTATCTGTTATGTCATATTTCACAAACATTTCATGTAAGAAATTCACTGTTAATGAAGATGTTGGATTTTTGTACTTATAAATTTCGGGCCATATAGTGAAACTATCATCTACCACAAGATAATGTGATCCATTCATAGGACCTGCAAAATCTATTTGCAGTCTTGACCCCGGCATGGCTGTCTTTGGCTAAGGTTGTGTGTGTGTGTGTGTGTGTGTGTGTGTGTAAAACAAGTTACAAAATATCCACTTGTAATTGCAGAGAACTGGAATCTTCCCCCTAAATAGACAATGTTGAATGACAATTTATAGAGTAAAAAGGACTCATCCCCATGAACTATATTGGATATAAAGAAGGCATATTTGAACAAAAATAATGAATCCAAATACACATGGAAAATCAAAGAGAAAAAAAAAGAGCCTAAAAATAAAAGATAAAATGATAAAAAAAAATAAAAATATTTATTCAGAAGAGAAAAAATTTATGCCAAGAAGAAAAATTGATAATTCTACATTTCCCAGACCATAAATTATTCTTGAATACAAGATCAGAAATACTATCAGGATGTGTACATAAGAAGAAATATCTATTTTGCAGGTTATTTACAGTCAGAAAATATTTGTAGATTTTAAGAATTTTGAGGAGGTAATAATTTACTCATACAAGTCATATTAATTAACCCATAGCTGGATTCATACATTTCCCAAGACTATTTGGGCATAAGGGAATATGCCAAACCTGGAATTAGAACTTGGCTCTCCCATTTCCAATTCCACCCATACATCCCAGCTTACAGCTAGCACCTGGTATTCTTAAGCAGTCACTCATCTCAATACTGACAAGACACAACATAGCAATTTTGTACCTAAATGTCAATAAATTAATATTTTAAACTTGTTTTATATGCAAATATTGCTTCCTCTGGGTTCATAAAGTTTCAAACCGCCTCCATTGACTCAGCCAAGAGTGATCATTTCTCGACCAGTATTCTAGTATGGCTTCCACATGATTGCAAGAATTGTAAACAGTATTTGTGCCTATGCAAATGAGATCTTTTTATTCATCCTATATAGACATTCTGACCAATCGGGATTGAGTTTTCTCCTGACTATTGATGTTCTTTGGCCAATCAGAGAGGTGGATTCTGTTTTGCCCTGAACCTATATGCAATTAATGAATTAAATTTTTAATCCAACATTATTAGTATAAATATTATCATTAGTGGGTATCCATGTTCGAGTACACATCCCTGTCACTATCTTAAACAACTCAAACAAGTTTACTCACTAAATATAACGTACTATGATGATAATAATATACTAGAGAAAAGCAGTCTCCCCTACTTCTGGTACATTTTGAATATTTCACTGCAAATAAATAAGATCAAAGTTTAGTATATTTTCTTAATCTGATTCTCTTTCTCCACTTCTTTCTTTCTTTCATTTTCTCACTGAAACCAAGTAGTGTCTTTTCCCTCTTTCCATGCAATCAAAATGGAATAGTGTATTATTTATGAGGTATTGTCAGAGCATAATGGTCATGTCAACTAACAGAGGGAGGGATAAGCACAATTACAAAAGGATAAGGCAAAACGAATATATATATATATATATAAGTGAATATTGAAGTCAACACTTAGAGGCGACAGGCTGTTTCATGCTAGAAACAATCATCAGGCCACAAGTGTTGTTCTTTTTTCTTGGCTATTTACATATACGGGTCAGTGTTGCATTGTGGGTACTCTATTTTGGCAGTTATTTTGCCAGAAGTTGTTTATTTCTTCCTTTATTTATTTGGGTTAAATTTTTTTCTTCGTTCTTATTTATTTTTATTTTTTATTTCTTATCCATAATACTCCTCTGAC